CAGCACTTGCCCAAAGGCTGTTCCAAGATTATTTCTGTTCATCTCATCCATTAATTTTGGAGACAGAATCATGTCTAGAGACATTTTTTTTCCGAGGACAGTATTTTATATAATAGAAAAAAAAAATAATGCGTCTCCCTCAAGATGCAGAAAACAACGAGTACTGATAAATTTAATTGAAATTACAATTGTAATTCTAGTTAATACAAATACAATGTTACTTTAGCGGTTAGAATTACATTATAGTTCTAATGGCAAAAATATCAAAGTGTTATAGATTAGTATACTTTTACTTATCACAATATTAAACTTTTAATACCGTTTTATTTTATTTAGCTTATCACAATATTGAGCTTTTTAATACCGTCGGTACTGAAAAAATGTTTTACTACTGTCATGAAATGTATATTCGATAATATTTTCTCATTGATGTTTTTCTTATATATTTTTCTGCATAATTCATTAAATGTTTGCAATGGAAATAATTCTGAGGCTTTTATAATACTTCTAAATTTTCATGAAATAAAGTTCCATTAAGGTTTACTTGAAGGAGACTCTCAGTGCAAGCACTCGAAAAGAAGTTATGCTACATTTACATATTATGAAATGGTTGAATGTACAGTATTTACTTGTAACAGCGGTGCTCAATATATCGCGTTTTCTGAAAGAATGCATATGTTGCCTAAAATCGAATTTAAATCACTATAATCAGAATAATTGGCTAAAGTATTAAATTGTAATTTTTACAGCATCAATCGAATTAGTGGATTTTATTGAAGATAAAAATGTGTTGATATTGACAAGCTATATTAGTTTTTGTACTATAATGAATGCTAGCTAGTAGCTATATGAATATAATGAATGTACTATAATGAATGCTAGCTAGCTAGCTAGAGTAAAACTCAGGATATGGTAACATTAAATAAATAAATAAATAAAATAAAATAAGAAGCAGAAAACGAAAGCGAAAAGAAACTGAATACATTCGGAAAGAGAAGGCTTACTATGGTGAAACATTAGAAACGTGTAGACAAAGTGTTAATACTATATGTGAGGAAAATACTAAGGACAAATTGAAATACATCATAGCTACGTTTGGTGCTTTCTATATTATCTGTATCAATATTAATATAAGTACCGAAAAATACTTAAAAATAGGTATTTTCGAAAATTTAAAGGAACAAAATTGCAGTCTGAAAATTTATAGCATAATATCTCAATGAAAATTTTTACTATCAGAATTTTTAAAATTAGAATATTTAAAATAATTTTAAATTAGAAACGCCATAAAGTTGTTATTATTATTAATATTATTTTTCTTTTAATTAAAAATGATATCAAGTGTCTACTTCCTAAAATTAAATTTGCATTGCTATTTACTTAACACATAAATCAGCTCGAAACGAATTATAGCATTAAAAGGTTGAGCATTAGTTCTGCATTTCTATTGTTAGATAATCCTCAGTAGAGTCCCTTCTAAAAATTTTTCACTGTTACATTCATTTCATTCTATTGGGTTCCGCTAACATGCGTATTTCTCCCTGCCGTCTTGAGAAGAGAAACGCAGCATTCTGCAGAGTCTAAGATCTTTAATTTTCCTTTCAATTTATTCAATTTGTAATTGTTTAGTAAACTGAGTTACTTAAAAGCGATAATTATATTTCTAAATTTTTATTTGATTTATGAAAAGATGTAATACACGGGTCTAATTCGTGCCTTCCTCGCATTTTAAGAAGAGGGAAAACTATATATCGTAGTTTAACATTACCTATTACGCAGGGTCTAATTTCTAAAATTTCACAGCTCTATGGAAGACCGTCCGGAATGATGACAAAAATACATACATAAAATAATAAAACGTCAATGATTAAAATTAAATAAAATGTTAAGAAATAAATAAAAATATTAGCAAATTAAATAAATTACAAAAAGTTAAATGATAAAATATCCGATTTCAGCCCAACTCAGGCTGGAATTACAGTTTCATTGAAAAACAGAGAAACACCGGAGGCGGTTTCCGGCTTTTTCAAGTACCACTAATTGGAATAGAAAGAATGCTAGATAAAGCTTGAGAACAAGTAAAAAAAACACGTTCCTAAACAATGAATGCCCTGCCTGTTCTTACAGCTGTTCAGAACAATGTGTGACAGAGTAGGAAAAACTGCTCTATCTCTCGACTTCCACAATTAGTGGTTACCCCTTGTATGCTGCACGCTTCAATAGATGAAATCTCTACTTCAAATGTACCTGAACGACTCCTTTGAATACAGGCTTAGCAATTCCGCTCTATTATTTGTTCAATTATTTTCGATTATGTGGATGTAATTGTAATTTAAACGTCTTGGTCCTTAGTCCAAAACTGACCTGTTAGCAAAGAACAAACCTAAGTTTGGCATAAGTTACCTTTTCATCCCCTATATTTGAACTGTAAACTATCCTACCTCTTTTTTTTTTTTTTTTTTTTTCATCTTGTTATAAACAATGGATAAATAAAATAGCTAATACTATAGCAATACCTTCGAGATGAATGGTAAATTTACTATTACCACAGAAGTTAAAAAAAAAAAAAAAAAAAAAAAAAAAAAAAAAAGAAAGAGGTAAATTCCTCTGATGTAGGTCTTCTATGCACTCCGTTTAAGTGATGCAGTTATGTAGAAAATTCATTCTGTCACAGAAATCCCATTCATAAAGTAAATAATGTGTACTGCGTAATATCACATTGCACAGAATAATTAATTGCTAGAAACACAGTAATATCGATTTTTTCCTTATTTCTATTATCTAGTATAAAAAGAATCGCTATTTAGTTTAAAGTGTGAATAGAAGTTTCAGCACTTAATTAAAATAGAAATTGAGGAAATCGCAAATAAGTCAATGTATAAAGTATTCTGAGGTAAAATTTTACACTAAACAGTTGAATCTAGGGGGCCTTTCTTTTTTAATAGTAAAATTATTAGGATAAATATTTAAATCTGCTTACGGAAACTTAGAATTTTGTGTTTGATTAATTAGCTTTGGGTAAGGATAACCCACATTATTGAATACTTTCTTTAAGCTTATATAAGAACATTTAAATCTGTGTACATATTTTTTTTTCAATTGATACAAAACTTTTTTTCATACGGTATTGAAATCTAACTATCTATTTGTTTGCAATGAAAGCAATAGAAATAGAAGTACTGATGCTGTTGAAATGTACTGATTGCGCAGAACATAGATTGCACATATATGTTCAATGGTCATATAAATGCTGATATTTTTGCAGCTATTATTTATCTGCTTAAACACACTTATTTTTATAAAGGAATATTGTTTCAGGAAGTTGTTTAACTTTATATTTGCAGGGTTTTTTTAAAATGTATTGCACAAAAAAGATTTAGTTATTTCTTATTCATAAATTCATACGAAGTACACAACATACAGGTATGGGAATTTTTAAACTTGTAAAAAGAGTGTTATCAGTAGCAAAGATAAAGCAATGTTTAAAAATAATTTAAGGCGTAAACAAAAATAAAATAATTCATTCATAATCAAATTCAAAACTAACATCATGGTTTATTAATACATTCTAATTTAATTAATCGGAAAATCTACGAGATAAAAAAAGACAAAATTACACATATAAAAACGATTTTTGAAAATCCTATGATAACGTTTTAAGGCAGTCAAATTTCAAAGTTTGTCAAATTTCATCCGGAGTTAGATTCTGTTCCCCTTAAAAAGATCAAATGACTTTTCATTTGCGATTTAAAACTGAGTACACGTACATTCCTATGTATAACCATACAAATTTATATGTACAATCAACAGAATTGTTACTCTCCGCCAAACACTGGTCATCTAAAGAAACAATCAGTTAAATGTTTATTTAGTAACATAAGAACATAATTATTATTTCAATCCTGTTATTATTATTATTTTTTTTTTTTCAATGGCAGATTGTGAACAATTACAAATGTAACCCAGTCCATTAATCTATACAAGGCCGGATGTAGTGATCTCTTTATTATGAAGGCACCACCATCGCCTTTCCTATGAAGGGACGGACAGTTACAACCATGCCTTCTCCGGGATTCGAACCCAGGCCCTTCGGCATCGCCTGTTATTTATTTGGAAAACGAACATAAAATTTAAACAAAACTATTCAAGTTCTTAAAAGGAGTAGAAATTAAGAGTAGTTTTCAAGTTCTAAAAAGGAATAGACATTTATTTTTTTTTCTATGAATACTATAGAAATTAATAGGTAACAAAATACTAAAATCAAAACCATTTTAACAACTCACATGTTTGATATTTCATTTTAAATTTTATATTTTTAGTTGAAAGTATGATATGAAAACACTTTGAACTTCATAAGCAGAAAAAAAAACATATATTAAAATTTCTATAATAAAAATTATACCATAAAAACATATAAATACGAATCATAGTTATATTTATAATTTGCCGCTCATTTCACCATTGATATCAATATACCTGTATACGAAGCATTCAAAGAAAAGCATTAAAGTAATAAAAATGTAGACATAACTCTGAATTCTATTTATAATGAAAAGTGATAAGTATTTAAAAATAATCAAACGCAGCATATCAAAAAATGAATACTTTCAAACTTATGCTTTTAGAATAAAATTAATAACACTTCTAAATTATTAATATTTCAAATAAAAATTTTAAAAATACAGTTCTGTGAACTCGCTTTCTGAAATAAGTCAATATAAGTCAGCAAAAGTTCTTTTACTAGCAAATTAAAAAAAAAAAAAAAAAAAAACACTTTGTGTGTAATAATTCAGTTAGGAAAAAGAATATCATTTAGATTATATCTAAAATGCAAGGAAACTCGCCCACAATTATTTTCTAGGAAGAAACGTTCACAAATACTGCTTCGTATGATATTCCTTAAAACAAGGCTCGATACACAATCCTACATTACAGTCCTCGCACTGATAACGACTTTCTCTTCGTTTTCTTTTACCATTTTTATCCACTTTTAAGGCAAACTACTGCAAACTACACATTTCCTTACAGGGGTCTTTTTTTTTTCCTGTCTGTTTCAAACTACTAGGAAAATGTCGGCCTTTCAATCGCAAAATATTTTTTTCAACTGAGGGTGCAGGACAGTAATTACTTTCCCTTGCATTGATCTGAATTAAATTTTCTATCACCTGCAGGCGGAACTCTAAATGAGACATTGTACCTGTCCTTTTACTGTAAAGTACGAATGCGTTCCATACAAGTTGATTTAATAAGTGAAGAAACATTTTTTTGTAATGACGTTTTTGCTGTTTTCTTGCAGAAGGATAATATGAAAGTGACTGGTCTGCTTTATCAACACCAGCCATTGTATCATTATATTCAATGACAGCTAAAGGCTTTTTCACGATTTTGTTTTGTTTATTAACTTCAATCACTGCAGGGTTATGCACTGTTGATAGCATACACACTGTTTTTTTATCGGTCCACTTCAGTGCCATCATCTTCCCTCTCTGGAAAGCTATAATGTCTCCTTTCTTAACTTTCGTTGCTTTTAAAACCGCTGGTACATTTTTTCGTGATGGTCGAAGAGTTCCGTATATATCTGTTTTGTGCCGTATTAAAATGTCAGCTAGTTCAGGAGAATTGTAAAAATTGTCCACTGTTAAACAGTATCCTCTGTCTAAAAGAGGATCTAACAGTGACAATACAGACTTCGTGGCGAGTCCATATTCATTGTATTTACTATCGAAACTGGTGTCTTTTCCAGTATATATGATACTACGCCAAATATAACCACTTGCTGATTCACAAAGGTGAAACATTTTTATGCCAAATCTTGCCCTTTTGGAGGGTATGTACTGCTTCCAGCTGAGTCGTCCTTTGTAAGGCAACAGTGATTCGTCAATACTGATATCTCTTTCGGGAACATAAAACATTTGAAATTTTTTATTTAACATGCTGAAAATATTAAATATTTTCTTCAGTTTTTGAGGAACTAAATACATTCAGCCAATGAATTGTCAGAAAAATGAAGAAATTTCATAATAAGTGCATACCTTTTCTCTGACATAATTTTGGAGATGAAAGGCGTGCTGATTATTGGCCTTGTGGTCCAAAACCACTTTTGTTTAGGCTTTCGTAAGATGCCTTGTAGCAGTAATAAGGCCAAAAACACTTTGATTTCGCTTTCATTTGTGTCGGTCCACTTTTGACATCTAGACGATGGTGTTAGTCCAATTCGATCTAAATACTGCCCAGCATAACGATTTGTTTCATTCACTTGTTGCAATAAACTCATAAAAAATTCATGCAATAAACTCATTCGTCTGCAAAAAGTTCAAAATATTCCAAAGGATTTTCATTCGTTAACGATACTTTGATTCCCGGACTCCATGAAAAGGAAATCTTGGAGGAGCTGGTGGAATATCTTGCATATTTATTTGACACCAGTCTCTAACATCTGTGATGCCACAACTTGAATCTGAATCGCTATCAGATTCTGATGATTCGCAAGATTCAATATCTGAAGAAAGTAGTGCATCTTCACTATCAGAGCCACTCTCCATTATATAAGTTGAAAAATAAACTTAAGTTTGATAATTTTAAAACTATAACTGATTGAAGAAAGCTAGAGTACAAAATGTGCAGAATACAAAAATGTTAACTTCAACATAAGGATTTCAAAAAAAGAACTAAGAGTTTTCATTACTAACCTCACATTTAAAGCGCCTCAGCTATTGTTAAACTGTATCCCCCCCCCCGCGAAATAATGTTGTCAACAAAATTTATTATGTATACAAATGCTGTCTTACTCCATGCCCTATTTTATCCAATAAACTTAGAAACTTAGAAACTTACAAAATGATTTTATTCATCTCAAATAGAAGAGAGTTTTGAAAAGGGAGCGGAACTTTTGAAGTAATTTGATGCCTTCTGAAGGTCGCCATGAACATAACAATTTATAACTCAGCTTTTACAACTAGGAATCAGATAAACTCTATTGTTTGGTAAACCGGACTGTCTAGTAATGTTTTCGGTACTGTCTAGTTTCCGGGAATGGCGATGTATGCAAGCTTTTTCCTCTTTCTGCCCTAAGAATAAACAGCTCATAGGGAAATTCTGAAAAATATATAACCCTTTCATATATGTACTCATACCCTGATATTCACAATAGCGTTTCTTTATTTAGATAGCTTTGAGCATGCAAATTCAGTAAAAATCAGAAAACAAGTACCATACTTATAACAAAGCAGGTTATCTCTCAGTAAATGAAGGGAATTAAGTACCGGCGATGGCAAGATTTTCCCATGGTTTGAAGACTAAGTAATTTATTCCTTTCAGAAAATTTTCTCGGAAAGCAAATCATCACTTACGGATAGAAGAATGTTCTAAGAACTACGGGATAAATTTATAATGGGAATAAAAGAATGAAAGAAATCGGAAACTCTTTTCTAGTAATCATTTTACTCCTCGAAAGTTGGTTTCAGTATCACCTTTTTAAGGAAATGACACATGAAATGGATTTCAGAAACTGAATCTCGAAATCATCAATAACTATCCAATATTCTGCATTTGTAAATATTTATTTAATTTGCATTTCAACCAAATGTTGAAAACAAAGCGGAAAAAAATCTCCTTGCAAAAGGAGAAAAAAAAAAGATTCCCATTCTTTTACAGTGATATTCCATTAAATTATATCAGAAAATCATATCACTGTTGGATGCAATAAATACTAATTTCAGACATGTTGCCTGTTTATGTTGTTAACTCTCTTTTCCAACTGAACACTGGTAGTTTTGCCTAAGTTTGAATTCCGGCGAATGCGTTCGTTGCTTGGTATTTTGGTGAATTTTAGGTTGAATATACCAAACCAGTTTCCCTGAAAAAGTCATCTACAAACGCATCCTTTTCCTCAAGCAGGTGCCCATCGTATGCTGCCTGACGAATGTGCAAGAATTTTTCTTCTTTTACACAGCTTTCATAATCACATATTACCCACCAGCGGCCGAGCGGTAAAGACGCTGAACACTGGTAGTTCGGTCCGAGGTTCGAATCCCGCGAACGGGCTGGCTGCATGGTCGTTTTCGTGGTTTTCCCCATGTGTAACGTGTATACGAGCCAGTTTCCCTTAGAAAGTCCTCCACGAAGGCATCCCTCCATTTAGGCAGATAACCCTCGTGTGCTTTGCCTTGAATAGTACCATACCAATAATACCATAATCACATATTATATTATTGAACATTTTTAATTTGCAAAACTATAAGTTATGGAAAACTCAATGACATATTTATTTAGATTAATAAAAAGATAAAAATTAAATGCGTCATCGGCATCATTTTGTTAGTAATATCATTATATAATCTATTGTATTTTTTTTTTTTTTTTTTTTTTTTTTTTTTTTAGTGTACTGGGGAATTAAAGAAAATTTCTCAAAAGTATCATCATGTTTTCGTAAACTGATATATAGTGTTAAATTATTATATTAAATTTCAGTTTATTATAGCAGAAATCGTAAATAGCTGCATTATGTATAGCTCTTGCTTCACTGAGCTTTCGGAAGTTAATCTGCGTCCATCATAATCGAGAAGCAGGTCGATTTGTTTCTGTAATCATTTTGCCTCCCTAAATTTGTAGCCGCCAAGAATTTCGCCATTTCGTTTTTTCGATGCCACTATTTTTATGTCACTGAAAAAGGTTGAAAAATCGGAATTTTAAAAGCAAACTTCCTACTTTTCATCAAATAAATTTTATCGATTAGCAGTGCTATGGAAGCATTAAAACATTTATGTAATAAATACACAAATACTTCAGAAACATTTTTTTCTCTCTACTGAAGAAAGGCCTGTCTCTGACTACCTGCGAATTTGATTAAGTTTTATCCAAAATCTACGTCAAAGCGTTTCTTTTTGGCCTAATATTAAATTTTACATTGGCATGTTCCTGTCCCTGCTTGATGTTGACAAGATTTATTCAAAACTTACTGTTCTTATTTTTTATTTTAAAACAAACAATTTAAATGGAAATCCTCAGCTTGCTTTTATTTATTTAAATAATAACATTTGATAATGTGAATTGAGATCTCTAAGTAATTTGCGTAAACCCAAAAAAATGTTAAACACTAATTTTGAAGCTTTTGGTTTTGCTTTATTTTTTCCTTCAAAGCACGCGAGAGCTATCTGCCTAAAGGGAGGAATGCCTCCGTGGAGGACATTCTAAGAAAAACTTACTCGCGCCCACATTATGCACAGAGAAAACCACAAAAATTCCACTTTGAAAGGTAAAAGTGTCTAATTTTTAATTTAGAGAGAGATTTTTTTTTCAACTAATTTAGAGATTTCCTAACAATGAATTTTAGCAATTTAATACAAGTGCTATATTTAATTAAGAATTAAAACAATGTTCTTTTGTGATTTACGTAAGGTAACTCTTTCTGTCAAAAATAATCATATGAAAATGCACCGAATTTCAGTACCATGTAATTTAGTTCGGAAACTGAGAGGTATCTGTGACATCTTGTCTATATGTAGAAAATTTTTAATAAGGTTATTATGACTGAAATTTGTTTCAAAATATTCAATATTTCATAACTTCTATCAACCAATAAATGCGATAAAGGTAAACTCCCCTTTTATAAATATGAAACAAGATAAACGAAATAAATTTGTGGTAAAATGAATTACAAACATTATGTCGAAATGACTGACACTGAGCATGTGTTTGTTATTTTAATAGTAATTTAATTATCAATTACATGTAGCTTTCAATAGGAATTAGGTATTTTAAGCCTCTTATAAATTTTTTCTTAGCGTTAAAGCTCGATAACATGAATCAAAAGCAGAAAATTAGTTAAACTACACTGTCTCACTAGTCGTAAGATTATATTACTGAAATATGCATATAAAAACAAATTAACATTCTATAAACGTACATTAAAATACCGAAACGCAATAAAAATCAATAACATTTATACTTAAAAGCAACAAAGCCGGGAAAAGGGTCAGGCAAGGAGGCTCCTCATGTGAATCACTAGAAGAGGCGCCAAATTGGCTATACGAATTCGAAAATTACTTTATTAGGGGAAATAGGCTTCGTCAAACTTAAATCAATAAAACAAACCAAAAAAAAAAAAAAAAAAAAAAATTGCAAGAAAACCTGGAAATTAATGCAATATGCATTTCAGTGTTATTTCTTATTTATCAAAAACGAATTTTTTAACGTTTTCATTTGAAAATTATAAATAATTGGCTACATTATTTCTCTGAATTTATAAAACTACGATTAAAAAATACTTTAAGAATTATGGTATAATTATGCTATAAGAGTTATGACATTTTGATTTAATACAATTACTTTTGCTTAATACAAGTGTAGCTATTTTTATATTTATATGGACGCGCATTGACCTTTCTGCCTCAGGTGAAAAAATATCTTGGCACGGCTCTGATAAGCAATTAAGATTAGAAATATGCACAAAATTAGTAACAAGGCAATACAAAACTTCCTTTTCTGTTTTGGATTTCCAGAAAAAAATATCTTTTTTCGTCTAACCAAAGCATGGACACAAAACGTGTTCCTTCCTCCGTAAGGGCAAAAGCAGCCCATCTGCTTAATCGCCTCTAGGCGGTAATCAAAGGACAGTAGGAAACCATCACTTAAGTGAAACGACTTGTTGATCGCCCTACAAGGAGGGGGGAAGAAAATCTAACAAAGGCCGTTTTCAGGACAATTTTGGTTCACTCTAAATGAAAAAAAATTGTAAACATGGTTAATTTTTACTGCAGTTTTCGAGACGTAAATAGATTTGAATGCGAGCCGCCCGGTGGTTAGGGCGAAAAAAGCACTCTCTACTTTTCAGGAGAGTAGGAAAAATTTACTTACTTTAATATTTACAAGTGGTAACCAACTGATTTTTATCGCTACAATACAATTTCAAAAAATATAAAATTCACGTATATCTTCCGGAAATTTTGAATATAAAACTGTAATTTTTTGGCAGGTATGCTTAGAAATACGTCTACTTTAAGATGATGGTAAAAATTTTATAGATTATAATTCAAAATGTTTTTTGAAAATATATAAAAATTATTAAAGTATACAAATTTTAAAAATAAATCATAAAAAATGGGTGAATTTTATTTGGAATGAACTAAAATTTCGAAATGGCAAAGGAAAAATCCAGTACGTTTAATAAAAAAAGAGAGATTAATAAATATATACCAAACTCGATTAACATTGAGGAGCTAAACTTTTGAGAGGTAGTTTTTTAAAAACTAATCGTGCGATTTTTACAAAACTTGATAGTTTGGCGTAATTTGACTCGTAGAATCGAAATATGAAAAAAAAAATTGGCATGTTATTTCAGAAAAAGTCGGATTTTGTGTCAAAATACCTATATTAGAACAATGCTATATATAAATCTAATACATATCATAAGTCGCGCTTTCGAGACATGAAAAACGCAAGTTGAACTTTGTCAATCGGCCTAGTAGAACGTAAGAATAGAACTGTCCTCCCCCTCTTTGTTTTTTTTTTTTTTTTTTTTTTTTTTCTTGCGTAGTGTACATAC